GTGTACTGCATTAAGCTGAGACTTGTTATAGCACTTGCATGTCATTGCTCTCTTTTTGATTTTGATATCTTCCATTGTTCTCATTTATAAGTCGCTTTGGATAAAAGTGTCTGCTAAATGTAAATGTAAATACTGACTGATTAATCAGGAATACAAGAGTTGGCCACTACTTAAAGTGCCAATATTGTGCCATTTTTAAGGTTTCTAATATTGTTTTGGTGACGTGACATATAGCCAAGTATTGTGTCCCATACTCGGAATTTGTGCTCTGCATTTATCCCATCCAAGTGCACACACACAGCAGTGAGTAGTGAACTAACACACACACACCGTGAACACACACCCGGAGCAGTGGGCAGCCATTTTTTTTGCTGCAGTGCCCGGGGAGCAGTTGGGGGTTCGGTGCCTTGCTCAAGGGTCTCACCTCAGTCGTGGTTTTGAGGGTGGAAGAGGGCGCTGCTCATTCACTCCCTCCACCTACAATCCCATTTTACTGAAGCAGTCGTCAGTAAAATGACTGGAACACAAAAAAGATTGGGGTTGTACTGCTGAGGTACAGTGGAAAAAATTTATTTTAACCACTGATTCTTTGCAGCCGCATCTTCTCGACATGATGTTAACCACACAAACAAGCTACAGTGTTTGAGGGCAGGTCAAGTTGTTCGCGGCCGTCCAACGTAGAACATAGGCGTGCATTATGCAAATGTGTTACCATGTGACGTGTAGTCGTTCAGAATCGATTCTTTCTTTTGGGAGACGATGCACTTTCGACATTACTTTGCAGATTGTTTACATTCACATACAGCTACATTACACACTGCATGAAAGGCAATATTCGAAATGGCATAATAGGGGCACTTAAATTTTGCTTTACTTTTTTATAATGTGTCATTCCCTGAGACTATTTCAGTTCTGAGTTCGTATTTTCATCTGCTCTAAAAAAACACACACTCCCTTACACCTGATGTCCAAAATAATCTGTCGCAATTCTGAACACGATGTCTTTCATCTATTTCGATGTACGTTGATTGTGGTAGGTGGTGAGCCCCACCATCTCCTCCCCGGTGTGTCAGGAGCAGCTGGTGGAGGCGGGACGTCTGGTGGAGCGATCGGTGGAGGGCTGTGTGAAGGCATGTCATGCCGCCTCAGAGGAGGGCGAGCTAATCCGACAGGTGAACATGGCGGCTGGCGCGGTCAGCCAGGCCCTCAGCGACCTGCTGCAGCACGTGCGCCACTACGCCAGCTGCGGTGAGCCAATCGGACGATACGACCAGGCCACTGACACCATCATGACCGTAACAGAAAACATTTTCACCTCAATGGGGGATGCAGGTGAGACTGTCCTCAACCGATAGTTTCCAAAAATTTTGCAGAATTATTGCAATGTGGTTGCTAAGGTGATTTGTGGGGTTGCTAGGGGGTTAAGTTGAAAGGGACACTTCCAAGTGTAACTGGTCTCTAGATATGTCCTTGAATGGCATTTTAGTTTTCTTTGCCTACTTTTTGCTTAAGAAACATTTCTTATTATTATCAATGTTGAAAACTGTTGTGCTGCTCAGGGTTATTGTAGTTAACTAAAATATTACTTACATTTATTTATTTCAACATTTTATTTGAAATAAATAAATGTTATGAAATAAAAAGAAAACTATATTTTCCCAAGGCAATATTTCTCATTTTAATTTAGTTTATCTTGATGTACTAATATAAAATAAAAATAAAACTGAAAAAATAATAATAATAAATATATATATATATATATATATATATACAATAACACAACAAAATCACGAAAACTTGAACTAAAATTTAAAATATATATAAAAATAAAAACTCATTCAAATATGAATAAAAACTATAACCGTATCGGTATGATATTAAAATAATGTTGGTGCTGTCTTATATTTTTGTGGAAACTGTGGTCCTTTTTTCTAAATTGTTTGATGAATAGAAAGGTAGGAAGAACATTTATAGAAATATTTTATTCAATGTCTTAGTCTAACTGGTCTATAGATACGACCTAATGTCATCTCATAGTTTTCCTTTGCCCACGTTCTCCACCAAAAACCATGGTTGAAAACTAAGTAATTGCACAACTCTCCTCAACAAGCCATCATGAGCTATCATGCACATTGCAGGATGAATTATGCGCCAATGTTTATTACTTGGGGGTTAAGAGATTGTTCAAATTCCCTAACCTCAAAAAAAGAGCAAAAGAAATAGCAATTTTTGCCTTAGAAAGTGCTGCTAAATGCGATAGATGGGCCCGTAACACAGGAACACTAGCTTTGCTCAGCCTTTGTATCTTGTCTGTTGTTTTTCTGGGAGAATTTGACCCCCAGTTTATTTTGACTCCGTGAGGTCCTTAAAAGTGATTTTGTCTGCGGTCTGTGCTGTCTTTTTGGGTCGTTTTCAAAACTGTAGATGTTTGTTATGCTATGGCCGTAAGTCTAAAGAATCCTCAAAAGATTCTGTGCCCACGAGGTTGTCAAAAACATGTCATATAAAACCGCTACAGAGCATCAAATCTGCTCTCAATCACGCACGATTGCGTCTTTGAACGCTGTCTTTGAACTTTTTAAAGGAAAACACATGGCAAAAAATGCCGGTGGGGTTGACTTCAACTGTTCAAGTTAAACATGGACATGATAAATGACATGGGCAAATAAATCTTCATCATCAAAGAATTGTTTAGCATAAAAGTCAACAAGAACTCAATATTGACTGTTTGCTTTAATACACGTTATGGTTTGTATTGTGCACGATTCAGAAGAAAAGTGCATGTTATTCAGAAGGAATTTTTTTTTTGCATTTTGTACCCTTTCATGTAGTGTTGCTCTGTCTCTGAAACTGACCTCACTCAAGCCATGCAAACTTAACATTAATTTAAATTGGCATTTGGTGGATGTTGCTTTATGAACGATAACAATATATTTTTTCTTTAGCCGATATGCAGAACCAAATGAAATTTTAATTTATGCTTTTTGAATAACTAAATAATTTAGATTACAATAAATTAAGTTGAGCACTTTTTTTTTGTTTGTTTTACAAAATATTCACTCAAAATGCACTCAAACGCTTTGTAAAATTAAAAAAATACGCTGCAATATAAAAAAGAGTGAAAAATGTAAGGGGGTCTGAATACTTTCCGTACCCACTGTATGACTCAAATAAAAATTTTCACCATATATTGTCATCTGAACAAGTAAGTAACAAGTCTGCCACGTTTGTTCTGACCAACTGAGGAAAAAATATTACAATAAATCGCACTACCACTACCTGCCACCTGCAGGATCCTCACATGCGATAGCCTAGAAGCCGGGACAACTTCTTTGTTTACAGACGTCATGACGCAGCGGCATGCTCGAATTTACTTCTAAAACCTACCCGTACCACTCAAATTAGAAAACATTATTATAAACTAACCGTTGTGAATCGGGCTAAAGTAAGGCGATAGTTTTGAACACTGGCTGGTTATGTACTTGCTCAAATATTGATTTCGGATCATTTTTAACCAAAAAAAGTTACGAACTGCAGCTTTAATTTGTTGAGTGTTTTTTATTTATTTATGCTTTTAGTTTTGTTTTGACTTCTTTGTTTTATTTTTTGTTTTGCTTTTTGTGTTTGGGGTTTTAGTTTTGTTTTTGGGTTTTTAGTTTTGTTTTTAATTTTTCTGTTTGTTTTGTGGTTTTTGTTTGGAGGTTTGGTTTTTTTGTTTTGTTTTTGGATTTTAGTTTTGTGTGTGTGTGTGTGTGTGTGTGTGTGTGTGTGTGTGTGTGTGTGTGTGTGTGTGTGTGTGTGTGTGTGGGTGTGGGTGTTTTGTTTTTGTGCTTTGTGTCGTTTCAAGTTTTTTTATTTTATTGAACATGTATCATGGCACCATGCTTTTGGACACATACCATGTCAATACCATGTTGCTCTTTGAAATACCTTGTCATGTCATGGTAACATCATGACGCATGTTCATCATTCAATTCAATTCAGTTCATGTTTATTTGTATAGTACTTTTCACAATACACATCAATGCAAAGCAGCTTCACAGAAAATGAAAGTTTCTACACTACAATTAGAAGTAATTTATCAGTGGTGACTCTGTCAAGATATTCAGTACAATATAAAATTTTAACCTGATACCATTAGTGTACCATGGTACTGCCACAGATCTTTTTATGAGGTTATCTTTTTTTTTTTTTTTTTTATCAAGGACCCAGAATCAGCAGCCACACTGTAAAATGTGCTTTTGTCTCCTCATCGCTGCTTCATTTCTGATACCTGAAAGAGCCCTGAGCCATGATTTAGATTTGACTCATGATAAGATGGACCACAGATTCGATTTTCAGTCCCCATCAGCAACATAGAGAAGTATAAATGGCCAGGATGTAATTATTATGCAGCCATCTGAAGTGCAGGCTTATGGTTTGTTAGGTACATTTGATTCATGATACATTAATCACAACATCACTGCTATTATCAAATGTAAAGATGAGGAATGCACCACAGACGGTTTCCTTGGTAACAGAGATGGAGCAGACGGCCCCTAATTCCTCTTTGCATTGAATGTTTTGTAATGCGCTGTAAGTGTGTGGATGGCGTAACTGAGAGTTCTGTTGCCGTTGACAAATTTCCCTTCACAGGTCTGACTGAGCCTGGGATTTATCTGTGACAACTTTGTACTCTGAGAATTGCCTTTCACTTTCTGTTTAACCATTAAGCAAGACGATAAAATGAAACAATGAGAAACAATAAAGGCTTCAAAATGGCACATTAGCTACTAGTTTTGAAAGTAATATGCAGCATGTATACTGTCAGTGTGTATACAGTTGGTACGGAAAGTATTCAGACCCCCTTAAATTTTTCACTCTTTGTTATATTGCAGCCATTTGCTAAAATCATTTAAGTTAATTTTTTTTCCTCATTAATGTACACACAGCACCCCATATTGACAGAAAAACACATAATTGTTGACATTTTTGCAGATTTATTAAAAAAGAAAAACTGATATATCACATGGTCCTAAGTATTCAGACCCTTTGCTCAGTATTTAGTAGAAGCACCCTTTTGATCTAATACAGCCATGAGTCTTTTTGGGAAAGATGCAACAAGTTTTTCACACCTGGATTTGGGGATCCTCTGCCATTCCTCCTTGCAGATACTCTCCAGTTCTGTCAGGTTGGATGGTAAACGTTGGTGGACAGCCATTTTTAGGTCTCTCCAGAGATGCTCAATTGGATTTAAGTCGGGTCTCTGGCTGGGCCATTCAAAAACAGTCACAGAGTTGTTGTGAAGCCACACCTTCGTTATTTTAGCTGTGTGCTTAGGGTCATTGTCTTGGTGGAAGGTAAACCTTCGGCCCAGTCTGAGGTCCTGAGCACTCTGGAGAAGGTTTTCATCCAGGATATCCCTGTACTTGGCCACATTCATCTTTCCCTCCATTGCAACCAGTCGTCCTGTCCCTGCAGCAGAAAAAC